TTTCCCTTCAGTTTTGTCTTCAGGAAGTGAAGTGCTCAATCGGATTCAGGTCAGGTGATTGACTTGGCCATTGCATAACATTCCAGCGAAAGAGGGTATACAGTTGAGTTTCCTCTTGTTGTGCCCTGTGGTTCCCTGTAGTTGGATGCTCCATTAGTCCATTATCACAAACCACCTATAATTTGGGATGTTCTGATCTGGTAGGAGGCTGTGTGTGTCACGTGGTGGCCGGATTCACTGGTGGCCGGATTCCAAACAAGATCTTTTTTTGGGTGGAACTAAAGGGAATGTTTTATTTATACTTCAACACACGGTGTTAATGGACTATTTCAATTATGTGGTGTTATTGACATTTTATTGGTACATTTATGTATTTGAGATCACTTTCACATTCATGAATATTTAAATGTACAGGATCTGAACCTCCCTTGCTGGGTTCCAGTTTTCTTTTTCTAGGCAAGCAATGGAACTAGACCCTTCATACAATTTCTAATCCCCACCATGAGCCGCTATGCCATAGACCACCTTAACCCTCCCACCCAGGTTTAATCACATCAGCCGTCATGGGGAGCACACAGCCGGACCCCGAAGGAAGAGACATCCAGCTTCTCATTGTAGAATCTCCTTTCTGTATCGATTCTTCATGAACACAAACTTCTCCCAACAATTATTCTTTCACAAGTAGAGATGAGCGAATTATTCAAAAATTTGATTCGGCTGATTCGCCGAATTTGCGGAATAAATTCGATTCGATGCAAATTTATTTGCTGCGAATTTAACTTATTAAAAGGGTGTTTCTAGGCTTCAGAGAGCCTTTATATTAGTGCAGAACGCTGTACCTTTAATTTAAATGCCCTTGGAGTCTGCTGGGGAAGAGAAATAATACTGTCAGTCAGTATGACATGCAGATGAGTGCCGTCGATCTTAGAATCACCGCACACTTCACTCATTTTGGCAGTCACGGGGCACGACGAAGAAGATGAAGAAGAAGAAGAAGAATGAAAAGAAGAAGAAGAAGAATGAAAAGAAGAAGAAGAAGAATGAAAAGAAGAAGAAGAAGAAGAATGAAAAGAAGAAGAAGAAGAATGAAAAGAAGAATGAGAAGAAGAATGAAAAGAAGAATGAAAAGAAGAATGAGAAGAATGAAAAGAAGAATGAAAAGAATGAAGAAGAAGAATGAAAAGAAGAATGAGAAGAAGAATGAAAAGAAGAATGAAAAGAAGAAGAAGAAGAATGAAAAAGAAGAAGAAGAAGAATGAAAAAGAAGAATCAGAAGAAGAATGAAAAGAAGAATGAGAAGAATGAAAAGAAGAAGAATGAAAAGAAGAATAAAAAGAAGAAGAAGAAGAATGAAAAGAAGAAGAAGAAGAATGAAAAGAAGAAGAAGAATGAAAAGAAGAAGAAGAAGGAGAAGAAGAAGAAGGAGAAGAAGAATGAAAAGAAGAATGAAAAGAAGAAAAAGAATGAAAAGAAGAAGAAGAAGAAGAATGAAAAGAAGAAGAATGAAAAGAAGAAGAAGAATGAAAAAAAGAAGAATTCCAGTACAGCAAAAAGTGTATCTGCAGAGAGCTCCGCTATTTCTGACAGTTCTCTGACAGTTCCTTCACATTTACAGCGGTTGAAACATTGTATCTATTTGTTTCCGAATAAAAACATCTGTATCCTAAATGGAAACAAATAGATACAATGTTTCAACCGCTGTAAATGTGAAGGAACTTCTCAGAGAACTGTCAGAAATAGCGGAGCTCTCTGCAGGGACACTTTTTGCTGGCTGTAGAAGGGATGAAAATCGGCCGATCGATCTGATAAGAAAAAATTCGATTCGTGCATCCGAAGTTTGCTAATTTTCGGATTCGGTGCGAATCTAATTTTTCCTAATGTTCGAAACGAATTCCACTTCGCCAAGTTCGATTAGCTCATCTCTATTCACAAGTACAATGTCTGCTTTGTTGCCCCTCAAAAGGGAAAACCACAACAATGCCTCTCGGTGCATTCCTTATCATATTACATGTTGACTTCCTTATACTTTGCCATGTTTGCTACTCAAAATAATGTTTTTGTTGTCGCCCGAAGCATTATTAACAAAATAACCGAACACTCCTTGACACTTCGAGGTAAATAAGTTAAATATTTTCAGTAAATTACCTTTTCTGTATTGTAAGCGAAGTATGACCATTATGTCACCTTTTCTTCACAGTTTAGCTCTTTGAATAGATCTTCAATATATTAATATTTTAGCACCAGATAGGCAATGAAAATAGAAGATGAGCTCCCCGGATATTCACACCTAACACAGCCCAATATTTGTTTTCTCCTGGTGCCGTCCTTTGAGACCTCTTCTTGGGGATACTTTGGGCGCTCATTCAGAAAACTGCATTGGCTAGACTGCCTCAGCTTTGGTTTCTTAGATGTAGTCCAATTTATATATTGTGTTCTGCTGGTGGGGAGCTTTCCCGGCCGGCAGGACACAAGGCTCACTGCTGCTCACCAGAGGCTATAGCCACTGGCAATGATCGCATGTGCAAAATCCAACAGGCTGGCTGTACTGAAGTCAATCAATGGATCAACTTGGATACAACCAGCCTGTCCATAGATGGGTCAAATCTTGGCCAGTCCAGCTGAGATTCCATCCATGGATGGCTGGCTTTAGTATATTACACTTTTATTTTAATTTTAATGTGTTTATTTCATGCTGCAAGGAGATAAAATAAAACATCACACATTAAAGTGTTACTAAACCCACAACAGTACAATCAGTCTGTAGATGCAGTAAAGCACGCTTGTTATACTCACTGTGGAACATAAGGGGTTAATTATCTGCATTGTGTAAAAAAGGCTGTTTGATCCTGTCTTCTCTTCTTCTTCTACTGTCCCCAATCCATCTGCTGATAGTACAAAGCTCCAGGAATCACTCTGTGCATGCTCAGTTTGGTGTGTATGGCTAGAGAGGTTTTTTTTTTTCTTTAGGAGGATGCATGTGATCAGAACAAGGCCAATCAGCACTGTCCAGACAGAGGGTCAGGGGTCCTGCAGTATCATAGGACAGTTAGAGGGGAATGAAAACTCCTCCTACAAGCATTAACCAGTGCTCTGCGGGACACTGATAGAAGTCACAAGACTGCTATATACTGCTGGTGAGAAAAGGTATTTAGCAGTTTATATTTACTAAAATAATTGCATTTCCATATTCTGTGTGCTGTGGGAGACCAGATATAGTGAATGCGGGGTCCTGGGAGAGTAGATATAGTGAATGCGGGGGTCCGGGGAGAGCGGATATAGTGAATGCGGGGTCCGGGGAGACCAGATATAGTGAATGCGGGGTCCGGGGAGAGTAGATATAGTGAATGCGGGGTCCGGGGAGAGCGGATATAGTGAATGCAGGGTCCGGGAGACCAGATATAGTGAATGCAGGGTCCTGGGAGAGCAGATATAGTGAATGCAGGGTCCTGGGAGAGCAGATATAGTGAATGCGGGGTCTGGGGAGAGTGGATATAGTGAATGCAGTGTCCGGGGAGAGCGGATATAGTAAATGCGGGGTCCGGGGAGAGCGGATATAGTGAATGCGGGGTCCGGGGAGAGCGGATATAGTGAATGCGGGGTCCGGGGAGAGAGGATATAGTGAATGCGGGGTCCGGGGAGACCAGATATAGTGAATGCAGGGTCCTGGGAGAGCAGATATAGTGAATGCAGGGTCCTGGGAGAGCAGATATAGTGAATGCGGGGTCTGGGGAGAGTGGATATAGTGAATGCAGTGTCCGGGGAGAGCGGATATAGTAAATGCGGGGTCCGGGGAGAGCGGATATAGTGAATGCGGGGTCCGGGGAGAGCGGATATAGTGAATGCGGGGTCCGGGGAGAGCGGATATAGTGAATGCGGGTCCGGGGAGAGATCATATAGTGAATGCTGGGTCCGGGGAGAGCGGATATAGTGAATGGGGGATCCGGGGAGAGCGGATATAGTGAATGTGGGGTCCGGGGAGAGCGGATATAGTGAATGCGGGGTCCGGGGAGAGATCATATAGTGAATGCGGGGTCCGGGGAGAGCGGATATAGTGAATGCGGGGTCCGGGGAGAGCGAATATAGTGAATGCGGGGTCCTGGGAGAGCAGATATAGTGAATGCGGGGGTCCAGGGAGTGAGGATATAGTGGATGCAGAGTCGGGGGGAGACCAGATATAGTGAATGCGGGGTCCGGGGAGAGTAGATATAGTGAATGCGGGGTCCTGGGAGAGCGGATATAGTGAATGCAGGGTCCGGGGAGACCAGATATAGTGAATGCAGGGTCCTGGGAGAGCAGATATAGTGAATGCAGGGTCCTGGGAGAGCAGATATAGTGAATGCGGGGTCTGGGAGAGTGGATATAGTGAATGCAGTGTCCGGGGAGAGCGGATATAGTAAATGCGGGGTCCGGGGAGAGCGGATATAGTGAATGCGGGTCCGGGGAGAGCGGATATAGTGAATGCGGGGTCCGGGGAGAGAGGATATAGTGAATGCGGGGTCCGGGGAGACCAGATATAGTGAATGCAGGGTCCTGGGGAGAGCAGATATAGTGAATGCAGGGTCCTGGGAGAGCAGATATAGTGAATGCGGGGTCTGGGGAGAGTGGATATAGTGAATGCAGTGTCCGGGGAGAGCGGATATAGAAAATGCGGGGTCCGGGGAGAGCGGATATAGTGAATGCGGGGTCCGGGGAGAGCGGATATAGTGAATGCGGGGTCCGGGGAGAGCGGATATAGTGAATGCGGGGTCCGGGGAGAGCGGATATAGTGAATGCGGGGTCGGGGAGAGATCATATAGTGAATGCTGGGTCCGGGGAGAGCGGATATATAGTGAATGGGGGATCCGGGGAGAGCGGATATAGTGAATGCGGGGGTCCGGGGAGAGCGGATATAGTGAATGCGGGGTCCGGGGAGATCATATAGTGAATGCGGGGTCCGGGGGAGAGCGGATATAGTGAATGCGGGGTCCGGGGAGAGCGAATATAGTGAATGCGCGGGGTCCTGGGAGAGCAGATATAGTGAATGCGGGGGTCCAGGGAGTGAGGATATAGTGGATGCAGAGTCCGGGGAGACCAGATATAGTGAATGCAGGGTCCGGGGAGAGTGGATAGAGTGAATGCGGGGTCTGGGGAGACCAGATATAGTGCAGGCAGGGTCCGGGGAGAGAGGATATAGTGCATGCCGGGTCTGGGGAGAACAGATATAGTGAATGCGGGGTCCGGGGACAGCGGATATAGTGAATGCGGGGTCCGGGGGAGAGTGGATATAGTGAATGCGGGGTCCGGGGAGAGCGGATATAGTGAATGCGGGGTCCGGGGGAGAGCGGATTTAGTGAATGCAGGGTCCGGGGAGAGCGAATATAGTGGAATGCGGGGTCCTGGGAGAGCAGATATAGTGAATGCAGGGTCGGGGGGAGAGCGGATTTAGTGAATGCAGGGTCCGGGGAGAGCGGATATTATTGAATGCAGGGTCCGGGGAGACAGCGGATATAGTGAATGCGGGGGTCCCGGAGGGGGAGAGTGGATATAGTAAATGCAGGGTCTGGGGAGAGCGGATATAGTGAATGCTGGATCCGGGGAGAGCGGATATAGTGAATGCGGGGTCCGGGGAGAGTGGGATATAGTGAATGCGGGGTCCGGGGGGAGCGGATATAGTGAATGCAGGGTCCAGGGAGAGCGGATATAGTGAATGCGGGGTCCAGGGAAAGCAGATATAGTGAATGCGGGGGTCCCCGGGGAGAGCAGGATATAGTGAATGCGGGGTCCGGGGAGAGCGGATATAGTGGAATGCGGGGTTCCAGGGAGAGCAGATATAGTGAATGCGGGGTCCGGGGAGAGTGGATATAGTGAATGCGGGGTCCGGCGAGAGCGGATATAGTGAATGCAGGGTCCGGGGGAGAGCGAATATAGTGAATGCGGGGTCCTGGGAGACCAGATATAGTGAATGCAGGGTCCGGGGAGAGCGGATATAGTGAATGTGGGGTCCGGGGAGAGCTGTGCGGATATAGTGAATGCAGGGTCCGGGGAGAGCGGATATAGTGAATGCAGGGTCCGGGGAGAGGGGATATAGTGAATGCAGGGTCCTGGGAGAGCAGATATAGTGGAATGCGAGGTCCGGGGAGAGCGGATATAGTGAATGCAGGGTCCGGGGAGAGCGAATATAAGTGAATGCGGGGTCCGGGGGAGAGCGGATATAGTGAATGCGGGGTCCGGGGAGAGCGGATATAGTGAATGCAGGGTGACCGGGGAGAGCGAATATAGTGAATGCAGGGTCCCGGGGAGAGCGAATATAGTGAATGCAGGGGTCCGGGGGAGAGCGGGATATAGTGAATGCAAAGTCCGGGGAGAGCGAATATAGTGAAATGCGGGGTCCGGGGAGAGCAGATATAGTGAATGCGAGGTCCGGGGAGAGCGGATATATTGAATGCAGGGTCCGGGGGAGAGCGAATATAGTGAATGCGGGGTCCGGGGAGAGCGGTATATAATGAATGCGGGGGTCCTGGGAGAGCAGATATAGTGAATGCAGTGTCCGGGGAGAGCGGATATAGTGAATGGGGGATACATGAAGAGCGGATATAGTGAATGCGGGGGTCCGGGAGAGAGCGGATATAGTGAATGCGGGGTCCGGGGAGAGGGGATATAGTAAATGCGTGGTCTGGGGAGAGCGGATAATATAGTGAATGCGGGGTCCGGGGAGAGCGGATATAGTGAATGCGGGGACCGGGGAGAGCGGATATAGTGGAATGCGGGGTCTGGGGAGAGCGGATATAGAGAATGCGGGGTCCGGGGGAGGGCGGATATAGTGAATGCGGGGTCCGGGGGAGAGCGGATATAGTGAATGCGGGGGTCTGGGGAGAGCGGATATAGTGAATGCGGGGTCCGGGTGAGAGCGGATGGATATAGAGAATGCGGGGTCCGGGGAGGGCGGATTTATAGTGAATGCGGGGTCCGGGGAGAGCGGATATAGTGAATGCGGGGTCTGGGGAGAGCGAAATATAGTGAATGCGGGGTCCGGGGAGAGCGGATATTAGAGAAATGCGGGGTCCTGGGAGAGCAGATATAGTGAATGCAGTGTCCGGGGAGAGCGGATATAGTGAAATGGGGGATCCATGAAGAGCGGATATAGTGAATGCGGGGTCCGGGGAGAGCGATATAGTGAATGCGGGGTCCGGGGGGAGAGGGGATATAGTAAATGCGTGGTCTGGGGAGAGCGGATATAGTGAATGCGGGGTCCGGGGAGAGCGGATATAGTGAATGCGGGGTCCGGGGAGAGCGGATATAGTGAATGGCGGGGGACCGGGGAGAGCGGATATAGTGAATGCGGGGTCTGGGGAGAGCGGATATAGAGAATGCGGGGTCCGGGGGGAGGGGCCTGGGATATAGTGAATGCGGGGGTCCGGGGAGATCGGATGGATATAGTGAATGCGGGGTCTGGGGAGAGAGCGGATATAGTGAATGCGGGGTCCGGGGAGAGCGGATATAGAGGAATGCGGGGGTCCGGGGAGGGCGGATATAGTGAATGCGGGGTCCGGGGGAGAGCGGGATATAGTGAATGCGGGGTCTGGGGAGAGCGGATATAGTGAATGCGGGGTCCGGGGAGAGCGGATATAGAGAATGCGGGGTTCGGGGAGGGCGGATATAGTGAATGCGGGGTCCGGGGAGAGCGGGGGGATATAGTGAATGCGGGGTCCGGGGAGAGCGGATATAGTGAATGCGGGGTCCGGGAGAGCGGATATAGTGAAATGCGGGGCTCCGGGGTAGAACGGATATAGAGAATGCGGGGTTCCTGGGGGGAGGGCGGATATATAGTGAATGCGGGGTCCGGGGAGAGAGGATATAGTGAATGCGGGGTCCGGGGAGAGCGGATATAGTGAATGCGGGGTCCGGGGAGAGCGGATATAGTGAATGAATGCGGGGTCCGGGGAGAGCGGAATATAGTGAATGCAGGGTCCGGGGAGAGCGAATATAGTGAATGCGGGGTCCGGGGGAGAGCGGATATAGTGAATGCGGGGTCCTGGGAGAGCAGATATAGTGAATGGGGGATCCATGAAGAGCGGATATAGTGAATGCGGGGTCCGGGGGAAGAGCGGATATAGTGAATGCGGGGTCCGGGGAGAGGGGAGGATATAGTAAAATGCGTGGGGGGTCCGGGTAGAGAGCGGATATAGTGAATGCGGGGTCCGGGGAGAGCGGATATAGTGAATGCGGGGACCGGGGAGAGCGGATATAGTGAATGCGGGGTCTGGGGAGAGCGGATATAGTGAATGCGGGGTCCGGGGAGAGCGGATATAGAGAATGCGGGGTCGGGGAGGGCGGATATAGTGAATGCGGGGTCCGGACGTTGGAGAGAGCGGATATAGTGAATGCGGGGTCTGGGGAGAGCGGATATAGTGAATGCGGGGTCCGGGGAGAGCGGATATAGAGAATGCGGGGTCCGGGGGAGGGCGGATATAGTGAATGCGGGGTCCGGGGAGAGCGGATATAGTGAATGCGGGGTCTGGGGAGAGCGGATATAGTGAATGCGGGGTCCGGGGCGGGAGCGGATATAGAGAATGCGGGGTACCGGGGAGGGCGGATATAGTTGAATGCGGGGTCCGGGGGAGAGCGGATATAGTGAATGCGGGGTCCTGGGGAGAGCGGATATAGTGAATGCGGGGTCGGGGGGAGAGCGGATATAGTGAATGCGGGGACCGGGGAGAACGGATATAGAGAATGCGGGTTCCGGGAGAGGGCGGATATAGTGAATGCGGGGTCCTGGAGAGCAGATATAGTGAATGCGGGGTCCGGGGGAGAGCGGATATAGTGAATGCGGGGTCCGGGGAGAGCGGATATAGTGAATGCGGGGTCCGGGGAGGGGGAAAGCAGGATATAGTGGATGCGAGGTCGGGGAGAGCGGATATAGTGAATGCAGGGTGCCGGGGAGAGCGAATATAGTGAATGCGGGGTCCGGGGAGAGCGGGATATAGTGAATGCGGGGTCCTGGGTGAGCAGATATAGTGAATGCAGTGTCCGGGGGAGAGCGGATATAGTGAATGGGGATCCCATGAAGAGCGGATATAGTGAATGCGGGGTCCGGGGAGAGCGGATATAGTGAATGCGGGGTCCGGGGAGAGGGGATATAGTAAATGCGTGGTCTGGGGAGAGCGGATATAGTGAATGCGGGGTCCGGGGAGAGCGGATATTAGTGAATGCGGGGACCGGGGAGAGCGGATATAGTGAATGCGGGGTCCGGGGAGAGCGGATATAGTGAATGCGGGGTCTCTGGGGAGCGGATATAGTGAATGCGGGGGTCCGGGGAGAGCGGATATAGAGAAAAAATGCGGGGATCCCGGGGAGAACGGATATAGAGAATGCGGGTTCCGGGGAGGGCGGATATAGTGAATGCGGGGTCCGGGGAGAGAGGAATAGTGAATGCGGGGTCCGGGGAGAGCGGATATAGTGAATGCGGGGTCCCGGGGAGAGCGGATATAGTGAATGCGGGGTCCGGGAAAGCAGATATAGTGGATGCGAGGTCCGGGGAGAGCGGATATAGTGAATGCAGGGTCCGGGGAGAGCGAATATAGTGAATGCGGGGTCTGGGGGGAGAGCGGCTATAGTGAATGCGGGTTATTTTTTGTCCTGGGAGAGCAGATATAGTGAATGCAGTGTCCGGGGGGAGAGCGGATATAGTGAATGGGGGATCCATGAAGAGCGGATATAGTGAATGCGGGGTCCGGGGAGAGCGGATATAGTGAATGCGGGGTCCGGGGAGAGGGGATATAGTAAATGCGGGGTCTGGGGAGAGCGGATATAGTGAATGCGGGGTCCGGGGAGAGCGGATATAGTGAATGCGGGGACCGGGGAGAGCGGATATATTGTGAATGCGGGTGGGGTCTGGGGAGAGCGGATATAGTGAATGCGGGGTCCGGGGAGAGCGGGATATAGAGAATGCGGGGTACCGGGGAGGGCGGGATATAGTAAATGCGGGTCCGGAGAGAGCGGATATAGTGAATGCGGGGTCTGGGGGAGAGCGGATATAGTGAATGCGGGGTCCGGGAGAGCGGATATAGTGAATGCGGGGTCCAAGGGGAGAACGGATATAGAGAATGCGGGTTCCGGGGAGGGCGGATATAGTGAATGCGGGGTCCGGGGAGAGAGGATATAGTGAATGCAGGGTCCGGGGAGAGCGGATATAGTGAATGCGGGGTCCAGGGAGAGCGGATATAGTGAATGCGGGGTCTGGGGAGAGCGGATATAGTGAATGCGGGGTCCGTTGGAGAGCGGTATTAGTGAATGCGGGGTCCGAGGAGAGCGGATATAGTGAATGCGGGGTCCGTTTGGAGAGCGAATATAGTGAATGCGGGGTCCCGGGGAGAGTGGATATAGTATATTTCAGTTTTCAGGCCTTTAGTGACAATATTTCAACTCTGAGATGTTATTTATTTTTCTGATTTGTAAATTACCAACCTTTTCAATAATAATACAAATTCAAAGAAAGATAAAGAAGAGAATTTTAAGAACAATTTACATTTTTAAAATATTTTAGTTATTAGACCTTTAGTGGCAATATTTCAACTCTAGCCTGATACAAAGACGTTTATCAGGATGGAGCTCACTTTGGAATCTTCATTCAGCAAGCTGATCTTCTGAGTCCATAATGAGACCAAAAAGTGCCGTTAGACCGTAACATTGTACAATGTGCGGTCACACTGCGTGAGGTGAGCAGATATATGGTGGAGGATGTATGTTCATATATGTATTATATATATTGTTAATGTGTGTATATATATATATTATATAATTATATTTTTTTTTTTTTTTTTATTATATTATTTATTTCAATATTAATAAATTTATTCCATTTTTTTATCTTCTATATATCTATTTTTTTTTATTTTTCACTTTTTTGTTTTTTATTATATGAGGATTGTGCCATTGTTTCATTTGTAGCGCAGCATTTTTTCACTTCACAATATGATTGTAAAATATTTTCGTTATTAGGCCTTTAGTGACAGTATTTCAACTCTGAGATGTTATTCGTTTTTTTTCTGATTTTGTAACGTACCAACTCTATCAATAATAATACAAATTTTCATAGAAAGATAAAGAAGAACATTTTTAAGTAACACTTTACATTTTAAAAAAAATTTAGTTTTTTATTCTTATCAATACTAAATAAAAACTCAAGAGAGATAAAGTGAATTTTAGAAACAATTTACATTTTTTTTAAATATTTTAGTTTTCAGGACTTTAGTGACAATATTTCAAACTCTGAGATGTCATTTCTTTTTCTGATTTGTAAATTACCAACCTTAAAAAATAATAATAAAAATTCAAAGAAAGATAATGAAAAGAATTTTTAATATCAATTTACAAATTTTACAATATTTTAGTTTTTTTTAGGCCTTTAGTGACAATATTTCAGCCTCATGATGTTATTTCTTTTTCTGATTTGTCAATTAAAATCCTTATTAAGATAAAAAATTATATAGAATATAGAGAAGAGAATTTTAAAAACAAATCACAATTTATAAAAGCCTTTATTGACAATATTTCAATAGATGTTAAATTTATTTTGGTTTTCAGGCCTTTATTAAATGGAAAATATTTGAAAATTGATATTTTTTTTTTTTTATTTTAAAATTTTTTTTCAATTAATGACAAATTCCATATTGATGTTATTTATTTTCCAAAAAAATTAAAAACAAAACAAAGAAAGAAGAAAAGAGAATAATTGAAAAAAGGAATAATTTTAAATATTTTAGTTTTCAGTCCTTTTAGTAGCAACAATATTTCAACTCTGATTTTATTCAATAATTTCTTTTATCTGATATTAAAATAATAAATTCAAAGACCTTAAAAGAGTTTTTTAAGACCAAATAATTAAAAAAGGTTTTCATTTTCAAATTAGCAATATTTCTTTTTCTGATTTTTCAATGAACTTTTATTTAAATCAAATTTACAATTTAAATCAAACAAAAAGAAGAGTGAAACAATTTTTATTTCTTTCCAAATTATGATCCTTACAACTAAAGTACAAGTAATTTTCAGGTCTCAGCGTAACTCATGATCACCTATTGAGATTTTTTTTTTCTTGATTTGTCAATTAAAACTCTTTATTAAGATAAAAAAAAAAATAAATATAATTTTAGAGAGAAGAGAATTTTAAAGAACAAATAATAGAAAGAGAATTTAAACAAGTTTTGGTTTTTCAGGAAATGGCAATATTTTTGAAAAACTCTGAAATGTTATTTCTTTTTCTGATTTTTTTATAATTTTATTAAATTAATATCCATATTTAAAGAAATAAAAAAAAAAAAAATTTTAAAAGCAAAAAAAAAGTAGAATTTTTAGGAAGTAACCCCCCAATGGAAAATATTTTAGTAGTTTTCAGACCTTTAGTGTAAACCTTTAATATTTCAAACTCTGAGATGTTATCATTTTTCTTTTTTGTCAATTTTGTAAAATTTTTATTACCAGCCTAAAAAAATTTCAGAACAGAAATAATGAAACAGCTTGTTTTTAATAAAATTTACAAAATTAATTAAAAAGTTTTCAAGAAAGAAAAACAGATAAACGAAGAGAGGGGATGAATTTTAATTTTCAATTTACAATTTTACAAAATATTTTAGTTTTATAGAGTGTGGAATCAGAAAAGTGACAACTGTTAAGTAACAGACCTGTTATTTTCTTTATATGATTTTGCAAATCACGGTAATTTTTAATATGAGATGAAAAAAAAAAATTTAAAATAAAAAAATAAAGCGAGGTGAGTGAATATTTTCAATTCTAAGAAGCGCGCCTTTCCCAAAATTTTAAGAGGGTGTTAAATTTTGTAAGTTATTTTTCTTAATATTTTGCAACTTTGACCAGTTAGTAAATCTCGTACATTTTATGGGTGGCAATACTTATTGTTTTCAGGTGGATTAGGAATTGCGCTTTTTTTTCAAGACAAAATGGGCTTTCATTTGGTGGTCAAATGGATTAATCCATAATTGATGTTTTTTTTTATTACAAAAGTAAAAACTGGCCAAAAAACATTTATTTTAAAAAAAGACTGTTATAATTGGACCTTGCCCATAACTACCAAGAACAATCTTCTGATCCAAAAAATTTCTCCTGGTAGTGTCAAAGAAACAAAAAAAATAAAAAAAAAAAGTATTCCCTTCCATCTTGCTGAGGATGTCATTTCTTTGCTTCAATTGATTTTTACTCTGACTCTGATCTTTAACTGACCTTTCTAATCCTACATTGACCTTTGAATGACCTTGATCCGAAACAAAACCCTGGCACAGACCTAGATCAAACCTGACCTAGATATTTTTTTTTTGTTTTATTTTTTTTTTTTTTATTATTTTTTACACACACTTTGTTTTTTTTTCATTCTCAGAAAGGACAGAGATTGATACTTTATAAAAACATTTGTGTATAATGATAATTTTTTATAATATGATGTATATTAAGATACTTTTTTATGCCTTTATGAAACCTTGAAGTAAGGGGGGATAACCTTGTCCCTGATATAATGATACAATTTATAATTGAATTTATGGTAGTGCAAAAATAAAACATAAAATGAAATTATATGCTTCAGAATGGGACAGTACTCATATTAATTCATTTTCTAGGTGAAAAAAAAAAAGGGGACCGGGAACTAATGGAATTGGCAAAAAATGAAAATATTTTAGTTTTCAGGAGGCTACAAAAAAAATGTGACCAAATAAAACCCTGGATTTTTAGTGGTCCCAATATTTAGAAAATTGAAAATTAAAACGGGCTCTGAGATGAAATATTTTTATTTATTCTGTTCTGTAGTGGCAAATCTGCTCAGTGCATTTTTAGTGACCATTCTTATACACAAAATAATAATGAAAAAAAAACTCTGTCAAAGAAAGGTTGGTCGGCATAAAGTGAAATTAGAAATCGACAATTTACATTTTTAAAAAAAAGGTTTAGTTTTTCAGAGACTTTGTGACAATATTTTCAGGAAACTTCATGATGCGATTTCCTTTTCTGATTTGGCAATTGAAATCCTTATTAAGATAAAAAAATAATTTCAAGAAATATAGAGTTGAAATCATTTTAAGAACAAATCAAACCATGACATTTTAAAATAATTTAGTTTTTTTCAGGAAATATTTCAACTCTGGTTAAAAATGTAATTTGCTAGTTTTTCATTGATTTGTCAAAGTACCTGAACTTATCAAATAATCCTTATCAATAATAAAAATAATGTCAGGGGGGTGGTTAAAGATCATGGAAGGCTGGTTTTTACTTCCTACAAACAGTTTAATTTAAGCCATAATTTTTTTTGACGTTCAGCCTGTTTTGTAATTTTTTACTGGATTAGACCATGTAGTCGAAATATTCACCCTTCTTGATGATGTTATTTTTCTAGGGGTCATTAGGCACTGGATTTGGTCCTTTGTTACAAAAAAGGTCACATTGCATGGGGACTCCACACATTGAGCCAATTAAAATCAATTCCTTTTAGATTTCTGATCTGGTCATTGCATCACTTATCGCTTTGTAGGCAATCAATCTCTAAAAAAAAAAATTTCTAAGAATGCGGGGTGTTCAAAAAAGGATAAAAGTGGAGTTTTGAGAAACAAAATATACAGTAATAAAAGAAAAATCAAAGGTTTGGAAAACTACATTTTTTTTAGAGACATTTGTGTTGGGACAACATTATATTATCCAAATTTTCAGAAATTTCAACTAATGATGATCAATGATTGCTTCGGCATAGAAAGATGTTTCAGGCAATTGAAAATCCTTATTTCAAGGACAGCCGGTTCAAAAACTCATCATTGTTTCACCGAAATTTCGCAAAGAAATAAAGTGTATCCAATCATTTTCGTAAGAAAAAGTCAGAACAAATCCACTTTTTATGGACAATCTTCCAAGCATGTCATCCTCAGTGGTTCAGAAAGCAGATCAAGGACTTTTAAGAAAATATACTGTATGCAGCTTCTTTTTCAAAGAATGTGAAAATTCCATCCCCCCCCTATTATGTCAGATCTCCACACCTGGAACTCAACATTTAATCTCCAATAATACAAAAAAAATTGAATAAATGTTGAAGGGAGAATTTCACAAACAATTTTTTTTAAATTTTTTTTTTATAATTTTTTGTTTTTAGAACTTTATGACAATGCACTTTCAACTCCAATGATGTTGGTTATTTTTTCTTTTTTCAAGATGTTATTTCTATTTGTTTGGGATTGAAGTCCCTTTCATACTGAATAGGAGCAATTAAGCACTTATTAAGAGAAGAAAATCACTATTTAAAATAATTAAAGGCACTAAAATAAATTTTGAGAAAGCTTTCGGCAAAAAGAAATTTCAAAATCATCTTCAAATGTTAAGCAGTACTAAATTG